CTTGTCGACAAGATGTGTAAGATAATGAAAATTTATTCCACAAATGTTTTCGCCTAATAAAAACAAGAAAATTACGTAAAATGTATCATTGTAGTTATTACTTATTCATACGAGTATAATGTTGTTGCCGCTAACATTCCAGGTTTTGTAAACTAGAAGAGTTTAAAATTTTAAAATTTACTTAACGTTCTTACCGTACAACTCTCTGGTGTCACTCACAAACTGATTCAACTGCACCTTAACAGGGTCCAGTTCAGCAACTGATATGCTCGTGCTGTTTAGTATTTTGTATGACAACACCAGCTTTTTAAAATGTTCATAACGCAAATCTGGCAGGATTCCTTTCAAACAGTAAATGGCATAGTGTTCCAAAAACATTTTGTATTCATTTGACTTCCATCTGTGGACGTCAATTTTTCGAGGCAGTCTACCAACATTGGGGGGAGGTTTAAACTGCAGAAGCTTGCTTTCTATCGCGGCAACCTATAAAAGGCATAATTGAAAAATGCATCTTTTTTATTGCTAAGAATTAATCAAGAAATGGTGCCGGTGGGTGGTTGAATTATATACTTGTGACTGGTGTTATTCAAAAGTATTCAAGTTTGTTAAATATTATTGAAACGTAAAAGCGCTTTTACGATAAAAATTTGTATACAGGAAATTGTCGGCAAAAATTTATCAGTTGTTGCAGAAGAAAATTGGCGGGCTGGTAGAGCCTGTTAGACAGTTCCGTCAAGACTATACTCATAAGGCATTCTTGTATACGTACTTTCAGTTTACCTAAGTTATACTTTACCAGCTCCTTTCAAATTGATGAGGTTTAATTAAACGTATTTGCGCTAGCTAGTACGTGCCTTTTCATCGCTCAGGTTATAAGAACATCCAGTGCCTTCGACCTGAATTGTCATTAGCTTTTTCACAACACCCGACGCTATGGCATGCATTTCGTCTATAAGAAATGCTCTTCCTAGATCGATTCCAGGAAGGCAAGCCAGCGGCGGATAGCCTTTCATGCCTTTTTCCTGTACAGTAAAATAAACCATTTATTTTCGTTGACCTGCTGAGCGACGAAATAATTCCCTTCGATCGTATTACCGGTATATTTTTTTCAATCGCTATTTTTGCGCACTCCATGATTTCGTCGTGGGTCCTTGGAGAAGGCTCTTCATCTTTTTTTGGCAAATAGCAGCGGCACTTTCCACCCCCAGCAGTGTCAACAGAGTATCCAGAAAGGTCACATAACGAAGAGGCGTTAAATCCCCCTGTTGACTTTAAATTCATAGCCGCGCTTTTGGCTGGTATATCAGCTGAAATTGCCGGGCAGTAAATGAAACACTTCTTTTTCCCATTTTTTTGTTGCTATTTCTAACCCTGCAAAAACTCAACGCGCAAATCTGTGACATTAAAAGCTTTTGTAGTGACAAAAATTTTTAATCAAAATATAACTTAATTATATATAGCAAATCGACTGAATATTGATATGGCTACAGAGTACCGCGGATCGCCCATAGCGCACAATATTCCTTCAAGTGTAGCGCTGGAGTACAGTTATGCAATTTTAAATTTATTATTCATTTGCCAATAAACATAGCAAAATAATTAATTTTAGATAGTGCAAATACCGTTAACGTTTATATCAATGATTTTGGCTGCCAGCTTTGCGATGATTGAATCTAAAGGTGGCTTTCCTTTTCCTTTCCATAAGGCGTAATTAATGATTTTATCGTTTTAGTACCGCCGATGAGCAGGAAGTTCGGCAATAACACCAAATACCGGCCAGGCAGATTTAGTTGCGCAGTTGAAAAAATCAATTCCGTCCGTATTAAGTATCAACGTCAGCAGCAGCGCGCTATTATCGATGTTTCTCTGCGCCCTAAATCGTTTATGGCATTCTTGGTAAGCAAGCCCGTCATGGATATCAGTTATGCGGTGTCGATAAATGGGCTCATCTGAATGCTCCGTCAAATTTTCCCCTTAATTAAGAGCACTTAACTGACTTGTTTTAATAAAATTTACATTACTTTTACTTTGCAGAATCACTTCCAGTTGTTTGTGCAACGGTGCTGTGACAAAAATTTCTTTTTCCGCGCTAGTGCTGAATAAAAACCATGTTGTGGTAGGACTGCTGGTAGGGCTAACTTGAAAACAAACTGTAGAACTGGTAAATTATAAATCATAATTCATATAACGAATTTTTAAATTAAAAGTCAAGGACATCAAATTATAGTAAATTTTTGTTTATAATAAAAATTGGCAATTCGTAAAAATTAATTAAGACATAAAATATTTAGTAATTTGCTTATTTAGATTACAAAATATTACGCGAAAAAAATTATTTTAAAAGTTTAAAAAAATCAAAATGAAAGGAGAAGTAAAATTAAGTTACCAGAATTCCGGGCACTTTTCGCCGTGAGAATTATTAACGCCACACGGTATGCATTTTATGTGGAGCACTGCATCTGAGATTCTGAAGTGGCTAAAGACTTCATTACTTTCTTCACGCTTTTTAATGGGGTGAAGTCTATTCCCATTTTAAGCAATTCCAAAATAACAGTCATTTGCCGCTCCGACAGCGAAAGGTGGATGAATAGCAGGCCCAGTAAAAGAGAAGCGATAGATGTATCGTTACATGTGGGCGGGTCTGCGCTCACATCTTTTCAAAATCGACATCCGGCATCTCACCAGAAATAAATTGGGAGTAATCGATCGGTGGCTCCATATCTGTAATATACAGCAAAACTGAACTACATGTATGTAATTCAAAATTTTTTCTGTTTCTTTAATTTTTAGTTAATTATTAACAGTAAGAATAAAACGTTGTATAAGCATAATGCAACTCTGTAAGCATAGGATATTCTACCCAAATGATATGCTATTGTGCATTGCTGTCTGACTGTACCTTCAGTGGACGGATGAGTTTAGTTAAGGCATACTAAAGAGCGCTATTTAAATTTTATTCTCCTTTTTGTAACAATTCGCAGATTTTCGATTTTATTGAACATACCTTCGCCAACCTCATTTGTAGCCGTTTCGGGGTGTGTGGTCAAATGAAAAGATCTTACATGCTTTCTAGCCACTTTCAACCGATGTTCTGAAGAGAATTCTTTAAAACACTGCTTGCAAGTGATCGCAAAGGCGGTCTTATTTAACAGTTTGTGACTTCATCGAAGTCATCTCGCGGTTTACACATGGGATGATCCATTGCCTGCATGATAATTTTGAAACCAGAAATAACAAATCGGATGGATGAAAGTAGGGAATTTCCACTGCTATAATATGATGTATTTATTAAAATCAAAGTTATGGCTTTCCAATGTCTGTCAGTAAGCCGGCATTACCGTGCTATGAAGTGAATAAATCTGAATGCGTTTCAAGTATGTCTACACAGACCAAATACTCAGGGTTTCTCTAATGCGGACACACAGCCAAATATTTCTAGGTCAAGAAAAGTGCAGAGAATGGCCAAGAATAAAAGCCCTTACATTTACTGTTTCACTGAAGCACTTGATTTTCACTTTTTCTTAGGCTCTTAATTTCCAGTTCATTTACAGCGCTAGTACGCACATACTATGCGCGTGTAACGTTCGTTCATAAGAACTCCCTTTTTCGGTGCATCGCCTTTCGCGACGGGTGGACAGTGCAGGGATCTAAGGGCGGGACGCTCCGCCTTCCTGAGTAGCTGATTTGCTGTTTCTGGGGATTTCCACCCCATTCACTTTCCTGCTGTTCTGACGGATCTGCAGTACAGTTGCACTGGCTGCAGATTCCGATTTCACCAGTTGGTGGTTTTGTGGTGTGGCGGCAACATCGCCGATAAAGTCGATGTTTCCGGGTCGTCTGTCGAGGATACGCGTGGCGCCCATACGGTCCCGCGTTATACCATTTACAATTACAGTTCGTTTGCGCCCGGAATTACGCAGTATTTGATATAATGAAATTTGAAGTGGAAGAAGATAACGTTGACTTCCGTTGGCAATCACAAATTGAATTAATGAACAAATTATGATTATGACTGCTGGCAGCGTCCCAAAGCTCCTTTCCGAAGAAGCCACATTCCTTGTGCCAGTCGCAGGAGAAAGAGCGGACGACTCCGCGCTGCTGACGACCGTGTGGCCGCTGTGCCATTCCAACAGTCTCCGTTGTCCGGAGGAATCCCGCATTCGTGGTTCGTCGCGGGGCTGGTGACGGTGACCGACGCGGTGCTGGGCGACGTGGGCGCCCACACGGGGACCAGCTGCGGGGCACTGGCATATACTGGGTTTGTTTAACAGCTCCTTTATCTGCAGGTCCCTGTCCGTATCCGGCCCCGAGGGCAGCGGCAGGACGCCCACGCTCACCAGGTCTACATTGCACAGACAGTTAATAGCGTACAGATCCACCACCGGCGCCGAGGCATTGGGTCTCGGTCGGTAGTTGACATTGCTGCAGACGAACGTCGGTTCACCGAAACCAGCCGGTCCGACGCTAATGGTCAGCCGCGAGGAGATACTGCGCGACTCGTCGGTCTGCGGGAGGGCCTGGTAATAGACGGACTGGTTGGCGGGCGAGCGGTGGTGCCCTGGCGGTAACAGTTGCCGAAGCGGTCCCGCCCCACGACACTGCCGTTGAGGTAGGGCCCCAGGTAGACTCAAGTGGTTGTTCGCGGCGCACAAGCAACGGCTGATCCATTGCAAGCTTTGGATGGCGTAACATCGCCGCCCGTTTGTCCTACGGCTGCAAACTGCTAATTTTTTACTATAAATTGTTCGCGTGATAAATAAAATGCCTTTTCCGTCGAAAAGGCCCTGCGATGAAATGTCTCGCTGCGTGATGCCCTGTCAGCTCAAATTCTCCGCGCTGCGAGATGACCTTGTCTGCGACCACATGTCCAGTGATTGTTGTTCACAGTGAAACGTGGCTGCTGATCAGTTTGAAGTTGACTGTTGTCGTCAACGTCGCTTGACAGAAATTGCTTTATTTGTATAAAAGCAAAAAGCTAAAAAAGAAAACCAAAAGGCGGGAACGAGAACATTACACGATACTCCGAGTAGCAAGCGACGCAATGATGCAAACCTTAAAGAAAACCGTACAAAAACTTGTAATCCATGCATAAGATTCAAGAAGATCACGTGATATGTTTTCACAGAAATGTTATATCGAGACATGGAGTTACATTCATAGTTGCAGTTTGACACTGTTCGCGCTAGAAGTATTCCGCGTTAAGATTCAGTTTTTAAATACGGCAGAAAATTTTATCCACAGCAGAGCGTGATGGTCGACAAAGGACGTGCTGCTGGTCTCACACAGCGAACACTTCGTTGATGCCGTAGATGGCCAGTTTGCTCAGCGTGGAAACATCAACGGCCCGTAAGTCAATATCCTCCCACGATCGCGGGCTGCCGTCGGCATGGAAGCCACTGAACCTGCAAAGCATGGGCGAATTTCACCTTACGAAGAAACGGATCAGCTGGCGATTTAAACTGATGTGCGGATGCACTGAATAAAGCCAACGTACACGAGAAGATAGTTGCGAACGGGCTGCCACTCTTCCGGGTAGGCCAGAGTCACCACCCAACGCGCATGCACCGCCGCGACCTTTGCCAGCATCTCCGCGGTGACCGGCGGAAAGCAGTCGTTGACGGCGCACATGAAGCGACTGGCCATGTGCATTCGGCCGTCGCTGCATCGCAGAAGGAGCCGCGGAATGCGGATCTCCAGCTTGTCGATGGCCAGTTCGTGCGACTCCCATGTCAGGTCCTTCATGAATCTTAGTTCGTGTTCGGGCAGGCAGCGCAGGACACCTTGAAAGTTTAAGTACCGGAACAACCGAAACGTTGGCAGGCCGAACAGTCTGGACACTTTCCAGTTGTACAGCGCCACGACTTCGCAGACGTGCTTGCACTCCGTTGGGACATAGGTTGCCGGGTGCTTCAGCCGGTGCTCCCTCTGTCCCGCCATCGTTACGTCTCCGGAGACGATCTGGCCTTTGAAAACGATCAACGGCAGTCGGATTTTCATGATTTTTAGCAACGGCCTAATAAATAGCCCGTACAACGGGGGAAAAACGTTGAGGAAGGTGAGGCTGATCGTGGTGGAATGGATCGAGCGGCAGAGCAGCGCCGCCAGTTTGAAGCAGTGGTTGCTGTGCTCTTGCAGCCGGTAGCAGTTTTCCATGTTGATGCTGATGTGCAGTGTCATCTGCGCACTGCTCAGCAGCAACTGCCACAGAGCGCACACCCTGCGGAGGAGCGACGGTGTTAGACAACAAACCGGACACAATCAGAACAACCACCGCGCTTTTTTTCCGACTTCAGTCATTGCCGGACGGTCTCGCCCGGTCAAATGGCGCACAAGAGTTCTTCCCACAAGTTGACTATGGATGCCCTCATTGCGCGAATTAGTTGAACCGAAGACAAAGCTTTTCGGCAGCTCGGCAGAACTAAACAAGCCCTCCAACAATGCTTACCGTTTGGCCGTCATTTGTGATTGCAGATCCAGATGTGCCAGGACGCCGCTCATGAGCCACGGCGTCAGCTGACCGATGTGGGCGGCCGACTGCATCGCATCGTTTTCCCAACCTGCAGAACGATCACAGCATCACAGCTAAACTGCGAATCATTAACTATTAATTGAATTATTCATTAACTTGTTGAACAATATTCGGAGGATAACTCTCGGCAAAACGTTAAGCAGTGTTCTTGTCAGTATTAGATAACCGGCCGTTACTATTTGGGCACATTCTACACGCCCATATGCCCGACCTCCTCATAAGTCATAACACTGTGACGGGCCTGAACGCGATCACGTTGCAATTGCACGTACGTTAGCGCCCTGAAACAACAGAACAACACTCTAACTCCAACCCGTTGCGGTTTAAGTTCTCCAGCCCGGAATCCCCGACAGCTTTATGAGGAAGTGCAAACATGTACAGACTGTAAGGGCTAAGTGCCGGTAATGTAGTACTCTTCGGCTTAGCAGCTGAAACAGAATGCATCTAGCACCTGTCGTGCAGCAGTGGGCGAAGCAGACCAAGGGCTAAGTGCCGGTAATGTAGTACTCTTCGGCTTAACAGCTGAAACAGAATGCATCTAGCACCTGTCGTGCAGCAGTGGGCGAAGCAGACCAAGGGCTAAGTGCCGGTAATGTAGTACTCTTCGGCTTAACAGCTGAAACAGAATGCATCTAGCACCTGTCGTGCAGCAGTGGGCGAAGCAGACCAGAAGTGAGCCTCCGACTGACAACGCCAGAAAGTTTCAGACCGCATGGGATCGTCCGGCGATCCCATGCGGTCTGCGACTAGCCGCAACCACCGAAACGAATAAAGCAGTGCTGCTGGCTGCCTTAAACCGGGACTCTGGCGCTTGGCTTAATGCTCTCCCTGCACCAAGTCTCCATACATTCTTACGTGACGATGAAGATAGAATCAGCGTCGCACTACGGTTCGGCCTTCATGTTGTTGAGGAGCACAACTGTTTGAATTGTGCCAGTCACGTGGAAACTAATGGCCACCATGGGCTGTCATGTTCAAGCAGCAAAGAACGATAGTCCCGGCATCTCGAGTTGAATAACGAAACGAAACGTGTCTGGGAAACCGCGGGTTTTCCTTGCCAGATGGAGCCATCCGGATTGTCAGACAAGACTAATCAGCGCCCGGACGGCATGACGCTGATACCCGTGCGTGATGGGAAAGCGGTAGTCTGGGATGCTACCTGTTGGGACACCGTGGCTATGTCGCACGTGAAAGCCAGCTCGAAGAAATCAGGCAGCGTGGCACAGCTAGCAGAAGACTTTAAGCGGCGGAAGTACGGATTGGTAGAGGATATGGGATGCATGTTCTACCCTCTCGCAATAGAAACGTTTGGAACATTCTGGGCCTGCCTTTGCTGAGATGATACGCTTCGTCGGTGGGAAAATCCGCGATTTAACCGGCGAATCTCGATCCACTGTCTTCCTTAGACGACGTTTCAGTCTCGCTGTTGTTAGAGGAAATGCGGCCGCTGTCTTGGGTACATTAAATGCACGATCGAAAGTTGGAAATGACAGTAATGATTTTGATTGTTTCTTCAATGTGTAAATTCGGAATCTTTAATAGTATCGACCAGCGCAGCCTTGCTGTTCTGTTAATAGGCTATTGCCCGAATAAAGGAAAAAAACAGAATGATAGCTGTTATACTCGTAGTACGAGTCCCCGTACTGGCCGTACTTATCATAAGGTTATTACAGCCCTATGGCGCTATAAGGTTTCTTACTTACCTACCTGTTTGATGCCCAGAGGGCGAAACGAAGCATAATCATTAAATTCGGAATCTGAACGGATCACTTACAAATAGGTATACAAAATTGTTAGCGCCGTTAGCTGGTCCAGTAAGCGGGTACCAACTGATCTCATTCGTAACAGGAAGTATTCATCGACTGTCTACACCCGACTGTACTCGGCAGCTCGCATCAGGCAAAAAAAAAATTTCTGACAAGTTAGTCGAGAGAGCCAAGTTTGTCCGCGTCCTACGTTTTAGCACCGCTTCGGTCCTTTTCACTATTATTGACGCCGGTGTCGCCTGCGAGCACGGAGGATGCGCTACGACGGGGTTTGCGTGTGGAAGCCGACTACTGTACGATACTTCTTGAACATGTTGTACAAGCTTGTCCGGTAATTTACAATCATCGTAAAGGTACCGCTAGCGCAAAGTTGCGTTAATGACGATGTCCACTTCACTACATTCGTCAAAATTTCCTAAATGCGCTTCGCACTCCGCCGTTAGATTGTCGTTTACTGCACCGAACATTTTCCAGCCACCTTCCGCCAGGCATTTACTATTATTCTCGTTAACTTATCTGGCGTGCACCAAGCCACCAACCAGCCAGCGAAAAGCATGCTATGTGTTAGTCAGTGTAGCGTGGCGCACCGTACTACGTAGTACGTAGTGAAAATGAATGTGTTTTAGGTTGTCCCGATTTCAAAGTGAATCTTTATCTCGCTATGGTACGGTTGATCAACCGCACGATGTGGCTGTATGCAGTGGACACGCCTACAGATACGGTATGCGAAGCCGCCTCGCGAGGTGGAGTTGCTGTATCGCAACGAGATTCGCTACGAATTCGGGACGAGGCCTTAGTCTGTATATGCGTTTCTTAGTACTCGACTATTATACCAATTTCCTTAAGTAATAATACAATGGCACAATGCATATAGCTCAGCTGTAAGTACAAGCTTACTTTGTTGTGTTTGCACATGCTTTCGTCTCAGTTATTATTGAAATTTGCATGAATATCTCCTGTCGGAAATATCCTAAATGTATCACAGACACAGCAAGTAGCGCGTAAATTCACGTAAAAATTATATGTTCTGAAATTCTTGCGTTTTCCGCAACGAAATTTCGAGCATAAACTACGTAAAAACTAGAAACCGAAGGTCGTTTTTGCTCGCTTCCGCGATATAAATCGAAGCTTAGTGCCGGCTTTTGTTACGCGGCCTTCTACTAAAGGGAAATGGCCCGGTACATAGCGTAGAAACTGGGATACATACACTCAAACTTTCGATTTCGCGCACTCCGAATCACTTTTTTGCATTACTTCTACAGTACTTTACGTCATTCCAAAGCTACATGATTCGCGTACATTGTTCTGAAAACGGTTTGCGCGCGCAACACCCGGTTGCCGAGATTTTTTTAACTATTTTACTATTTTTTTACTATTTAGAAGGACTGCAACTCCGAGATGAGCGTCCCACGTAAAGTATTTAAGGGATTTAGCCCGGTACATGGTATCAGATTCGTACATGCACGAAAACTTTCATTTTTGCGCACTCCGAAACACTTCTTTGCCTTGTTTTATGACATTCTGTAGCCAGATAATTTGTATACATAGGCGTAAAAGCCGTTTGCGCGTGCAACATCCGGTTCGGGAGTGATGGCTATTCGAAAATTCCAAAAAGTTTAAATGCATTCAGGTGTACCTAAAGTCCCATTATGGACCGATCTCCTTTAAATGTTGTACATAAGTGCACATATCCATGGAGATCGTTTTGTTACCGAACCACAGTTCTAGCATGTTTTTCAAATTTTAAAACGAATTTTATTATACTTGTATTTGAAATTCATTTTTATACAGCGGGGCCGTATGGGTGCCACGCGTATCCTCGACAGCGAAACAGCGGTGAACCCGGATGAGGCTTTAATGCCGAATCTGACATGCGCACCGTGGCGCAGCACACACCAGACTAACAAGGAAGGACTCTGCAGCCAGTGCAACTGTGCTGCAGATCCGTCAAAACAGCGCATAAATGTGCGGGGTGGAAATCCCCAGAAACAGCGAACTGCTACTCAGGAGGGCGGAGCGTCCCGCCCTTGCATTTTAAAATTTGAAAAAAATGGTGCAACTCTGGTTCGGTGCCAAAACGATCTCCATGGATATGTGCATTTATGTGCAAAATTTAAAGGAGATCGGTCTATAATGAGACTTTTGGTACACCTGAATGCATTTAAACTTTCTGGAATTTTATAACAAACAGCCATAACTCCCGAACCGGATGTTGCGGGCGCAAACGGGTTCGCGCCTGTGCATACAAATCACCTAGCTATATAATTTCATAAAACAAAACAACAATGTGTTTGGGAGTGCGCGAAAGTTAATGTTTTCGTGCATGTGCCCAAATTCGGTACCGGGCCAAAGCCCTTAACGCCTCTGTGATTCTTTTTGCGGTACATTGCGCAGGCGGTGAAGCAGAATGTGACCTTTCAGAATTCTGTATGTCGACTCTTACTTACGCACTTAGTAATCTGTTAACCCTTTATATGAGGATTGACTACCTATATACTGAAAACATTTTAAAGAATTATGCAGTTGAAACATCGCTTATTAAATGTGCCACATTTTATGCGGCATCTGCCAAATTTTATCGTTTGCCAGGCGCCAGTATCTCCAGGTTTTATCGCTCGTTATGTCACTGACAGTGCTACTGACAGATGCTAGTGCCACGTTTTACTCCCCTCGCTATTAACTACTGCTTCATTGGAGCCATGGCACCTGGGCCATGGCACCTTGACACTTGGGCCACCTATGGATTCCGAAGAAATTCCAAGAAAACCTATGGATTCTGAAGAAATTTCAAAAAAAACCTACGGAGCCTAAAAACTAGGAAGCCCAAGAAACCCATAATCCAAGAAACCGAAATGCATGGTGGCCCAAAATGTCCGAAGTGACAGGACACCCTTTCATCGCATGAGTCGCCGCATGATGGCATTTGCCATTCCCACGCTTGAGAGAACTACTGACGCACTGCCGCAGATACTCCTAAACACTGCGAAATGCTATGCTAGGATTCTGTTTGTATACCACCAGCAATAAAACAATTGCAGTTTTCTGTTTTTTTGCTGGCACCCACAGATTCGTTTTGCTCTTTGCATCTGTTTGCTTTTGAATGTAACTAACCGTCTGCGCAGGAGATATCCTCGCTGGCTCGAAACTGTCCGCAACCGATGGCCGGTAGAGTATCCCGACTGGCCAGATGCGTGTCCAGCACTTGCAACAGGGCCGGCGCCGTGATCCCCGGCGGGTCCCAACGCTGTTGGGCGACGTTGATGGTGATGAACATACAGCCATCCCGCTCGATGCGCAGATGAAAGCGACAACGGTCGGTCAGATCAAGCAACCCATCGTTGCTATCAAAAGCATTGCGGAAGTGTTTGATGATGCGGAATTTATCGGAGGCATCGCGCAGGGCACTGGATGCGCGGGCGAAGGGAATAAAGTATTTGGAATAGATAATCCCGCTACGGCGCTCCAGCAGGGGCGGATCACTGGGCGGCAAGCAAAAGGCCACTTGACCCATCTCCACAACTTCCACCGAAGCGGCTGTTGCTTGGACACTGCTGATGGGCGCCGCGGATTTGATGCAGAACATGTCACAGTTGTTGCAGCTAGTAAGGTGACCCAAGAGGACGGTCGCGCGGAAGCGCAACGGGCCGTCGTCTTCATCGCGCAGTGCCACGTACGCCGGGACGTTCTCGGAACCGTTCTCTTCGGGCTCCTCGTCATAGAACGGCAGCGGCCAGACGCTGCCCATGTGTATCCATCGCGCGTTGGCCTTTGTGGAGTCGAAATGGATGAAGGCGCGGTCGCCGTCCATATCCTGAATATATCCCAGCCACCACGAGCCATCGGGATTACGGACGACGACCGTGTTCTGGTAGCTCATCTGGTTGGCATCCACCAGCAACGGCCGATACCGCGGCATCGATCCCTGAGGCGAATCCATACTGACCTATAAGTCATTGATTATATGTTATAACTTCACATCAATCCGTGGGGATAAGCCCTCTATTTACTGAGTATTATTATTGTGTTTCATACGATGAGGCGCACAGTAGTATTTCCTTGTTTTATTATCAACCCTACGGGGCGGACGGGCAGACCGACTCCTAGCCTTGATTTGTACTGAATCGAACTGCACAGTTTGAAGTGTTCATGGTTAAAATGACCGAATCGCATAATGCGGGCTACACTAGATCAGTTTATTAAGTGCTATTATTAAGTGTGAGTATTAAGTACCGGGCCAAATCCCTTAATGGTGCACTGGAGTCCCACCTCCCACCGGAGAGAGAAGACGGATAAATGGCATTCCGGGCCAGCTGGCGCGAAAAACGGGACTAACGTTGCACGCTGAAAATTACAATAAAAAGTGTAGAAAAGTGGCTTTTTTAAATTACGTTTTTACGATTTTCCTAGAATTACATATACACCTTTTCCGACTTGGTCGGCGCAACTGACGCCAGGCTGTGCGCCACTCCCCGCGAAAAAGCTGAAGACGGACCTTCCTATATTTGTAAATTCCAAGGAATAATTTGTATCCAGATATTTTGGCTCAGATGGTAAATTCGCGAACGAACATTGTCAACGCAAAAAGAACGCAAAAAAACGGAAAGAAAAAAATAATTTTTCAATCACTTTGGTGATATCTAAAAGCTTCGTGTTTATGTATTTATGCGTTAATGAATTGATGCAAGATCGCAAAATGAAGCTATATGCCGTTTTTTGCTTCGCATTCATTTATTTATGCAAATTAACCCTTCGGATACTATGCACGGTCCTATAAAAGCTTTATTTATGCCTTATGCAGTAGCAGTTCGCACCTGGCCGCACAGGTAGGTATCTGCAACCATTTCTTCTCGTTAGAAAACGAAAGAAATTGTTCCATAAACATTTTTTTAAAAATTACTATTTTTAAAGTTCCCTTCGCTAGTCTGCGACGGACTGTTTTCGCTGACTGCCAAACAGCCAAGGAAAAGCCATTAAATTTTATTTTTTTACCAGTTTGAGCAGTGTGCACAGCCGAAGTTCAGGTCTGGATTGAGCCGACTTACTGGTTTATTAATAGTCAATTTTAGAACAGCCTTTCCAGAATCACCCGTCTAATGAATATTTTTTAGCACCAGGACGGGGATAACCCAATGCATTCCTCGTGCTCCTTCACTCGTCCGTTTCATTCGAATTTCCAACATCAGAAAAATTAACGACAAGCAATGAGAAACGGGTTTTGTGATTCAAACAATTCAACGCAGTTCAGTAACACTTCCGAAATTAATGAATCCTTAGTCTGTGATTAAAAGAGAAAGGTATCTCGGTGAGAGTAAGCTGTAAAACCGAAGGATTTATTTAGCCGTTCGGGTATTCGGTATTCGGAAATACTTGCCCGAACTACCTATCCAAAATATTTATAATTCCATGAAACCCAGAGAAAATACAAGTACTCACTCAATTCTAATTATAGCGTGCGATGATAATCAAGAAACTTTCAAAAAAATGTCTGCTTCCAAAAACGCAAACGGCTTGGAAGAACTTGAAAAAGTCGCGATATAAAATAACTCGTGCGATCAGTGATCATGTGTAAATCTTACACTAGAAAGGGTAGCGCATCGCATGATAATTATGTACACAGTATATTATTGATTTATACGCACACGAAGAGACTAAATAAGATAAATTATATTATACAGGAATGCTAAGGGAGACATGGTGTATTCGGATGCACTAGTGCTGTTTCCTATTAAAATCACTGAGCTACGGCAGCATTGGAGTGCTCAGTGTCAGAGAGATAGAGCGTACAGCACGGAGAGCACGAGGTAGAGTTTACCCGTAACGCCATTTGCGTAACGCGCTGTGCGGCTGCGGGTGGCCTGCGTTAGTAAGATGTTTTGCCGTAGACCGCGGTTTTGCATTGTGACATAATTATGTATTACTGTAGCTGTATCAAATTATGAGATCTTAGTGAAGTTATACTGCAGAATGTGAACATTTCACTGGTGCTAGTGAAACGGGACACATCTGAATGTGTACTTTTACGAATTTTCCAGTCTTAACCGCGATTTTCCAGTTGTATATCAGTATAGTCAGTTTAAAACGTGCCGGGACAAACCCTTGCTGTTATGGGCCTACGATGACTTCCCGGCGCACCTTAGGCGCACGGCTGCCAACCGCCACAAAGTACCATCCTGGCGAGAATCGTCAATGACTTTAATAATCGTCAATGACTTTAGTAATCGTCAATTAACCCACGCACTCCACTAGCGACAGCTTACCAGTAAAGTCGAAATCAGCGCAAAGTATTGACCAAAATACGAGACTATACCACCTTGTAGTATAAAATCTGTAGTATTAAATTTTGGAGAAATTTTTTATTTTCCGGTAAGTATTACTAGTTTTGTGAAATAATCATCCAAAGTAAGTATGGGAGTAAGTCGTTGTAATATACTGCGTAGTACGTACTAATATCTGGAAAGTACAAGGATATTATAGGAGCAGCAGGTCCTGCTAGTAGGCATACGAGTATAGTAGGTCATACATAATCGCTGGCACAGATAACTGATGCTACCTGATATCAGTTTTACATAACTGAACAATATTTTTCTTGTGTATCAACTTAGCTCGTACGCCATTGTTATATAACATAACCAGTAATTACGATTATTATGTGAGTAGCATTCAGTGGTTCTACCAGTTTCTAGCAAACAGAAGCGCATATCGGCAAGCAAATAGCGTAAACTATTGTCTTTGGACCAAGGAGCAGGTGCACTGATTTCAATTTTTACCTTTGTCAATCTGATGTAATTTTAAGATGCTACATATTTACAGCTGAATATAGTTTATCTGGAACATATTGTGTGTGGTTTTGTAATGTGGTAACCGTTAATATATTGTGGCGAGTTGCAACTTGCAAGCCGGCAAAAAATAACCGAATAAAAAACAATTATCGTTTTTTATTCGGCTATTTCTAAAACGTTTTTGCTTGTGTAAACAGGAATACTGGTGGAATGGCAAAAATTAACAATTGTTTCACTTATTTTATCAACAATTTCACTTTTTTGTAATAAATTTTTAACAGATTCTGTGGTTCTCTGCGCTCAAAAGTAATTAAAAAACCAGCTTAAATTTTCATCTAAGGAAAGCTGATTCTGAAAGGGGATGAACTGCTTAATGACTACGGTAGTCATTACATTAGCCTATTGCGTTCAGTTCCAAAGAGCATATTATCACAGTACAGAGCCGTATGGTTTCAAAGGAATGGCAGTATTGGATGCTGGTCAGGTAAAGGGTAAAGGGTGAGTTGTCGTTGGCTCACGTTGTAGCGATTGTATTTGCAATAGCGTGCAACCATTTCAAAGACTCGTTGCGCTCTACCGTGACTAGTTCGTGAGTATCGAAACGCAGCGGAACTCCTTGAACGTCCAGATTAACTGCCGCCTTTACCTGAGATCGGTGTGCGTCTTACTGTTAGGCTTTGGGCCGCTAATTGGCTAGACGAAAATACCGGCGACCAAAGACCAAATCACCAAGTAAAGACACTGCTTATTTCAATGGGGTGCCCCGTCAGTTTTATGTTGCATCATATTTATTAATTTGGACTACTTCTATAGAACTATGTTTGCTCAGGCTAACCAATTGGTTACTTTTTATACAGCGGAATATGTTAAGATTTCAAGTTACGAAAATTAACAGCAATAAGTTACAACGCGTCTCGTTGCGATAACCTTTTGTACAGCGTTTGGCATTTACAATACAAACAAAAATCTTTGGAAATGCGTTTCGTAGTTTAGCGTAAGCCGAGAAAAGAGCGTAACGTAACCCTGTTTCCTATGGGATATGTGAAATTCCGCTCATCGATTCTGTTTCTAGTGGTACTGGAAATGCGTGAAAGTTCTCAAGGGACTACTGCTCGCGCTCGGTGAAATTATGTACATACGCTGCTACGGTGCGTGTAATCTGTAACGAAGACTTTGTAGCAGCACCTCGCGGCGCGCGCTTCGCGCTCGGTGCAAATAATTTTCTGTAATAAATTATTTTCTATAATTGAAATAATGAAAGTAAGGCCGACCCTTAATTACAACGCATGGGGATCTTAATGACCGACCAGCGCGCTAAACGATAGTGTTGTCGCAAGCCGCTTTTCGGGAGGCTTTTCCTGCTGGTTTCCGCCGTTAACTCACTTAGTAGGACGGGGATAACAAATGACTCCAGAAAAACTGATGGATTCATCCTCTTTAACAGTACCCTCAGGCCACAGCAAACGCTGGAATGGCACCTACGGCACAACTCAGAAATGAGAATGACTAGGAACAAAATCTGGATATAAGTATCCGTATTTCTGTCAATTGACCTGGTGCCCGGTGGATGTTGAGCGCGACACCGTGGGCAACATCTGTAACCGACCGGCAGCGGCAGTGGCTACTTGTCAGCAGCACTTTTACATTACACCAGCCGTGTTCTTTTTGATATTGTACGCTGCTTCCGCGGTAGGAAAAACACGCTTATGGTCATGCAGCTACCTAAACCTTTGCGCACGGAACATTAATGCCACACAACTCCCTGTCTCCAGTACCGCGGCATGTTATATAGTATGACGCCCCCAATACCCAAAGGGTCGCGTAGAGCCTGACGTGTCATGCGCGAAACGTTAACATCCGAACCCGTACAATTCTTAACAACCGAAATGATTATACTACACACCTTAACCGCTTAACGAGAGAAAAAAATGTTTTATGAAATAAACAAAAAAACACGATGTTTTTCACCCCAAATTTTCGAAATGTAATGGCAAATTTCATTGATTTTCTAAAAATTAAAGTCCTGCGTAGAAGTGGGTATGTGTTCTTACACTGTACTAACTACTACGTAGGACCCACATACCGTCATTGTGTGTTCGGTCATAACGAACTGAAAGAAGTCTTGTTTGGACAGAGCAACAGTGGCGCTCCACCTGACACGGTGATGTTTACTCGGTGTGACTGAACACCTAGGCACAATCAGGGGTCTGTCATGTCGACAGTGTGTGTAGTCGGTCCGTGTATTCGGTCGGAAACCTTTCGGCGCCTTGTACCCGGGTACTTGAGTTGGGACACCGTGGACGCTGCAACCGCGACCGCGTGTCCCGATCAAATCGGTAAATGCCGAGCTGCGGCGTAAGCGAAGCAAGCGGGGAGCAGCCAGCATACAGTCTCCACGTAATAGTTCCCGTTTTTAAAAGGGCTAGAAGCGGAGGAAGAAACACGACGAAGTGCTTTTGTCCTTATTCATTTGCAGTGGTTTGACTGTGTTCTGTGGTCAAAGCATTAAGCGAATATCTCGTTGATTCCGTAGATGGCTAGTTTGCTCAGTGTCGCCACATCCACTTGCCGCAGGTCCACCTCCTCCCACATTCGCGGACTGCCGTCGGCATTGAAGCCGCTGAACCTGGATGACAAAGGATAGCGAGAGCGGAATGTTTACTGGCACGAAATAAGTGCGGGCTGGTCAAGTCGGCTTACACTAAAAGATATTTGCGTTCCCGTTTGGTGCGCACATTAAGCGACTGGTCATGTGCATGCTGCCGTCGCTGCAGCGCAGCAGCAGTCGCCGAATGCCGATCCACATGTCGTCGATGGCCAGAGCGTGGGACTCTATGGAGAGGGGCTTCGTCAGCATCTGCTCGTGTGCCGGCAGACGACAGACTGTCCCATCGCACTCTAACCCATGAAACACTTCGCACGCTGGGAAGCCAAACAAACCGGCCACCTGCCAGTTGTACAGCGCCACGAATCGGCAGTGGTCGTCGTACCATGTGGGCACCATGGCCGCGGTGTGCTGCAGACGGTGCTGCTTTTGTCCCGTTAAGCTCTTGTGTTGGGAGAGGCTCTGGTCTTTGAAAACGAGCAACGGCAGCCTCATCTCCATGAATTCCAGCAAGAATGTCAAAAAGAATATTAGTCATCTGTATGAACTTCGTTTTGTCAGGAAATTTAACTACATGGTGATCGGAAATCGGAATATGAAACCATACACTCAAAGTGTCCGGAATATAAGCAAAAACTAAGTACTGAACTTCAACGCAAAAGCACAGTCTGCTAAACTTTTCATCAGCACAAGCCAATTACAGTGAGGAAAAACAGGATTACAAGAACAAAATTTCTTCTAATTTGTCTCCTCATTTATTTATTGATTTATTCATTTATTTATTCATTTATTCATTTATTTGACTGGGAGGCTGTAAAAAATGCTTTTGTTTCGGTTGCAGGCTGTCAGCATCAAATCGCACAGCAAAACTGATGCATGCAAGCGATCTCCGCAGAAGTCTTTACGGGGTATCTCTGGCTTATGACCTATCCTCCTTTGTAAAAGTAATATATGTAATAGATAATGGTAATATATCGATACTTGAACCTCCTTGGCGTGGCAGTTTAAAGAAGAAATGTTTGCTCTGGACCAAACATTCCGCACTGCAGTAGAGGCCATAACAAGCGTCAGAATGGACCATCCGACGTGGTTACAGGCTCTTTACCCGTTCGACTGGGGGGTTTGGGGATACGACGCACTGAGGAGCTAGCTCCCTCCGTCTACCTAGCATCGGCTTCCTTGCTGCGTCCGCTTATCTCCAAACTGTGTCCAACACAGCTCCAACCGATGTGACCACCGCAACAATGGCCTGGAAGGCATTGACCGGCTCTGATGATACGCCTGCCGAATCCATGCGTAGCATCCAAAAAGCATGGAATCATCCTGCC